CAGAGCCATCCAGGTCTTGGCCAGTGAGTGGCTTGCATACGGCAAGTTGTTTCAGAGTTGCTCTGTCCACTTTGGGCTGACTTTCCTTTTCAGAAAATCCATTTCCCTCTCCACCATCCATTAGACAAACAAACACTTATCACATATAATTTTTTTTAATTTAAAAAGTGAAAGCAATGCTTTGGGAGCAAGAAATCCCCCCTGTGAGAACAGCCACTCCCTCCCTAATGTTAGGATCTCTGCAAGCTGATGGGGGGCCCTGGACTTAGGGCAGGATCTGGACAGGGGGGGCAGGAGACTAGACAACGAGACTTTCTGGCAAGGGGCACGGCCCCTGAGTGGCCTAACGTGAGCAGACCTCGGGGTCCTGGGGACCAGGTGTGATTATCGGTGGCTGAGCTGGGGTACCATCAGAGAGGAGCCTGGTCACCAAGGTGCCCTAGATCAGGAATGATGAGGGGCAGAGGCCAAGAGAGAGATGGAAGTGTCCGCAGGGCCCTCGCCTAGGGGCCCCAGGGCAGGAGAGAGTCCGCCTGGCCTCATCCATCTGCATCCACCTGAGACTTCCTCCTGCCCCTGTTCCACAACCCAACCGCGTCTCCCACCCCCTTCCTCAGGTCCTTGCTCAGAAGTCACTCCTGGAAGGAGCTGACGTGACAGGCCCTCTGTATGTGCTTGTCTGAGGCATGGAAACCCTTTACCATTCAGTGTCAGACCGGACTGGAAGTTGATAGGACACCGGCATAGATGGGAGCCGGGGGTGTGCACAATGAGGAGGAGGGGTCTCCACCAGGACACAGACCAGTGCTGACCACCCTGCAGAGACCCTCCCCCAAGCTCTCACGTGCAGGACGCTGTCGTTGACACCCAAACCGTGCTCTGATGGCCTGGGGCATCACTGGGAGGTCGCCATGGATGGCTTATTTAGGTGAGCATTTATTAAACCCTCTCCCACTCCAGTGTCTGAAATTCCACCATCAGCTGGGCCACAACCACTGCAAGAATGTGAAATGCACCTGCTGGGCCCCATGCTTCCCTGAGCATGTGAAATGTGCCTGGTGTGAACTGAGAGGCCCTGGGTCCCAAAGACCTTGCACAGAAAAAAATTTTTAATGTGAAATAGTTCGGTAGTAATTGTCTATTAAGTGCATGCTGAATGATCTTATTTTGGATATCCTGGGTTAAATACAATATACTGAAATGAACTTCACCTGCTTCTTCTTGCCAAAATTTCACGTATGGTTCAAACTATGTTTCTACTGAACAGCAGTGGTATAGAGATCCTGGGATAGCACGATGTATTCCACTCAGTGAGAAGTACTGGACCCCAAGTCCACAAGGGAAACTTCCATGGAGAACCTAGGCTGGTACCGTGTGGGCAAGCCTGGTACCATGTGGGCAAGCCTGGCCAGCTAGCAGCATGCTGTCCAAAATGATGCCTGAAGCAAAGGGAAGGGAGAGAGAGGGAGGAAGAGAGAGGGGGGGGGAGCGAAGCTTGGCAGGGTCCTGGCAGTGTTTTCCCAAGCTCCTTCTTCCCTTCCCCTGATGCTGAAGCCTCCAGAGGAGGGTGCCGATAGGTGGGAGCACCTAGATTTATGTAAATTTACCTTAGCATGATTCTCTATCAGGCCCAGGTGACCCTCCCCATCCCTGCACTCAGACCTGGCCTGCCTACAGCCCGGACACAGGCAAGGGTTAGCACAGGTGTGCAACTGCTTTTCTTATCTGTAAACAGAAAGGAACCTTGTCCTGGCCCTTTGGCTACAGCTACTTTCAGTGAGAGGCACTCCCATAATTCCATCTTCCTGAAAACACTTCCTTTTTTAATCAATTTGACTTATAATCGCAGCTGTTTGTGAACTTGGAGTACATATATTTCTGCTCCAGGCTTTACCTGCTATACCCTGGCATTTACATGTTTATGTTTAAAGCCTTGGTTATGTTCTTAGGCCAATCACTTCTTATTTTGCAATTATGTCTGCTGTGCTGGCTGCACACTGTCTTTGGTGGTTATATAATTAAAGAGCAGAGATTTCTTTTTCCCTTGGCTGCACAAGGTGAAAAATGTTAGCTATTTCCACACTTCAGAGACCCAGCTGCTACAAGCATTAAAAATTACTTAAAACATAAATTTATGGCATTGTGATCACAATGGATTGTGTTGTTGTAAATGAATTGCACTGTAAATTGCTGCTTTAAATTAAAATATAGCTTATTAGGAATGGCAGGAGAGGAATAAAGAAGGAAGAAAGGTTTCATATAACTGTCCCCACAAGCCTGTCCCTCCAAGAAGTAATGGCAAAGGGTGTGCCCAAAGCAGAGCTTCCCCTCAGCTGCCCCAGGCTTCGCTGCCGGCCTGTCCCTGCCTCCCTCCTGCCTCCCTCCCATCTCCTCCACTCCCACCCGGCCTCGGGAGTTACTGGGGGTCCTCACTGGGCATTGCTCTGAGGCAGGCAGTGGACCTACAAAGATGAGTGAGACATGCCTTTCCCTCAACAACTCGAGGGCTCCTGAAGGACTGGTGCCACGTGGGCAGGCAGGGAAGAGGGGCAATGATGAGGTAGGCGCACTGGGGTATTTTTTTTCTTTGAGCAACAGAGAAGGATCAAGAATACTCAAGGACACACACGGGAGAAGGGGACTTGACCTATGCAGCTAACCCTGCAGATGCTGAAACCACCAGGAACACGGAACCTTGGCAACAGGGGGGCCTCCACAGGGGGACCATCGTTTCCTCAAGCATTATGGCAAAGTGGCTGCCTGTTCTCTATGTGGACATGTCCAGTGGCAGAGAACTTGCCCCTTTCTGAATTACCTGCTTCCATCTGGAGACACAGACACAAGTCTTCTCCCAGTTAAACAGTCTAGAAATCATGTCTTCGGACACTTCAACCTGGAAATGTCTGGATGACTTCTGAGAAACAATTCCTAATAGATGAGGCAGCATGAGCTGGGAGCTGGGAAAATAGCCAGGGCACAATCAGAATAGCTGGCACGTGGGCACCAGGCCAATGCTTGTTTATGTGCAAACAATGGGGAATAAGGGTTGTCCATGGGGGCATTTATAAACTTGGGTCTTGATTAAAGTGGCAGCACAGCCTTTTTGGAGGTTTGTGAGCAAAGGAAAGAGTGATGCCAGAAGCATTTCAGGAAAATTCGCTTGCTCTCACATTGGATGGAGAACTTGGACAGTGTCTGATCCACCATACCACCACGTAGCAGCTCCCAGAAAGGGGCCCACATGACACTGCACAAATGCCCTACCCACGGAGACTCCCCCAGCAACTGAGCATGGCTTGCTGGCAACCTCAACCTCTCTGCAGCCTAAACATTTCCAGGTCACATCATCCTTTGATTGAGTCTCCTGGCCCTCCCACATCCTGTCACACCCTTCTGCAGGTGCCCCATCACACATCAGTCCAGAAATTAAGATGTAATAGAAGGAAAATGCTCATTGCTTTATTCCCACACTCCTTAGACATTTACTTATAAAGTAACCAACAACAGCAGATGTCATATGAAGCCTTGAGGGTGCAGAGGAAAACAAATTGTTCTCACCCAAAGGATGCCTCAGGTGGATGAAGGGAGATATGCACACAGAAAGAGCGTGAAAACCATGGCCCAGATCCGTCCGCAGTGGAAACACCATTCTAGCATAACGAGGGATGTGTGAAAAGCCCTAATAGGGAAATGGGGCCTTAGATGTATTCCTGAGGGATGTGTGGGGCTTGATCTGGAGGATGGGAGCAGGAAAGTCCTTACCAGCAGTGGGAGAGATGGGGTTTCTGTCCTAAGAGAGGTCAGGGACACACGAGATGAGTAACCAGTGCTGGGAAGAAAGCGGCACCATCCTTAAACAGAACACTGCAGTTCTCTCTCTGAACCTGGCAAGAAGGGAGAGGCAACAAAGATGGAAAATGTAGGTGTGTCTAGCACATTTGAGAGGATTCATGAAACTCCCATTTCATTCCTTTAATTCTCTCTGGGATAAAATATTTTTTTCTCCCTGACAGAAGCAGCCTAGAGGCTCAGGAAGAGCATTGAGTACACTAGTGCATCCTTGGAATGCATGACTCTCTGTATTCTTTACCCACAAAATAATGTAAATGAAGCACTCTGGTGAGTTAAAAATGGTAAGGTCTCTGGGATACATTGTAATAGGAAAGAAGAAAAAAGATTCTAAACAGCACAGGTAGATTGAAGAATGATATAATGGTAAATTTTGAGAGACTGAGAAAATCATTTCAAAAAAGGTAACTTTGGCCTGTATCTCATTATTTACATTTGTCTGGAAAAAAAATGTTTGACCTTTAAGATGAAACCTGAATACATCTTGAAAGACAGTGTTTCTGGGTATGCAAAAAAGGTTGACAATTATTCAGTCTCAGCACATTGAAGATGTGGTTCCACTGTCTCCTGGCTTCCATATTTACTATGGAGAAGTTGGCTGTCTGGATAGAACTAATTATAATTGTTCATTGGTTTATAATCTGTCTTTTCTCTGGATATTTTTAAGATCTTTTATTTCTTCTTAAATTTCACAATATTGCATTTAGGTACAGGTTTCTTTATACCTACCTTGCTTTGGATTTGTGCTTCTGATTCTAACCGTTGATGTTGTTCATCAATTTTATATCATTCTTAGCTATTAGTTCTCTATATGCTGACTCTCCCCCAACCTCTTATCTCCTCTGTGAACTACAACTAGATAACCTATTAGGCCTTCTTATGCCATATCTAATATCTATCATACTCTTTATCACATGCTTATTTATTTGACTCTGTTGTATTCTGGGTAATATTTTCAGATTTATCTTCTAGCCCACTTTTCATCCCTACCACCTCTGCTATTTAACTCATCTACAAAGGTTTTATTTCTACTGTCATATTTTTCCATTTATAGAAATATATGACTATTTTGTTTCTAGTACTTATGACTTTTTTCAGTTTTTGTCTATGAAAGTAAGCTTTATATTATAGTCTTTTTTGTAATAGCTTTATTGAAGTATAACCAACATACAATAAACTATACGTGTTTAAATGTACAACTTGACACATTTTAACAGGTATATACAATCAGGGAACATCACAGTCAAGATAATGAGCATATCTTCAGTTAGCTTGTGCATTCACTTATTAGTGGATATTTGGTTTGTTTCTAATGGGCTTCTACAAATACAGTTGCGCTGCACATTTATTTATATACACGTTTGTGAGGACCTATGCTCTTTTCGTTTGGATAAACATGCAGGAGTAAAATGGTTGGACCATTTGGTAGGTGTATGTTTAACTTCTGTATAAAGTTCCACACTGTCCTCCACAGTTGCTTCTTTAGTGAATTCTACCATATCACTGAGGAAGAAATTGCATTTTCTACACAAATTCTTCCAGAAACCTGAAGAGCAGGGAATTTTTTCCTAGATCTTCTCATAAGGTCAGCATTTCCCTGATACCAAAACTATATAAAGTCTTATAAAAAAAAAAGAAAACTACAGGAGAAAAATATCTGATTAATATGAACATAAAAATTCTAAACAAAACTGTAGCACATTAAACCCAATAATGTGTAAAAAAAAATGTAACCCATGACTAAGTTCATGTCAGTATTGTAAGGCTGGTTCAGCACTGAAATCCATCAAAGTAACTTAGCATATTAACAAAGAAGAGAAACCATCAGACTTTGACATATTGACATGAGGGGCACACAATTCAATCCATAACAGGCTGACAGATATTGAGAAGTTGTATTTTGTTGGGTGATATTTTTGAATTTCTGTAAATATTCCTGAGCTCTGTTCAAGAACAAAGCTGAGGTTTTTTGAAACACATTGATCCTTTGGGTCTTGCGTTTGGGATGTGCCAGGTGGAACCTGAGCCATGCTCAGTCACAGGCAGTCATGTCACACAGCTTAGGCAACAGCGCCTCATGGGCTCTGCCCATGCGCCTGGAATCCTGGGGTCCCAGCCTTGCCTGGTGGGAGCAGGCAGCCTTCCCGCCCCGTGGGTGTCAGAAAGCCTACCAGGGATTCATGCCCACTTCAGTGCCCTGACCAGGACCTGGCTGGACACCCAGTGGGGAACTCCTGCATGTCTCAGGACTTTTGTCCACATCCCCTCCAGCCCTCTCTGCTGTGAGCTTTGGGGCGCTCATCTCCATGGAGACAGTCTCCCGCCTGCTCACCCACCTGGCTGTGATGACCCCTCCCTGCACCGCAGCGTGGATGCGCCCCGGCCCCTGGGCAGGGAGCTGCAAGCAGCTCAGGGCTCCACCCACCAGCTTCTCGTCTCTCGTGGGCCCCTGCCCTCCGCTGCCTGACGTCTAGTGGATTTACTGTTTCACAATTGCTGGCAGTTTCAGTCCAGAGGGTAAATCTAGTTCTTGTTCCTCTGTTTTGGCCACAATTGGTCATATCTATTTGACTGTTATAAAAGCCACTTTGATAGCTGCTTGTTGCTCTTCATATTTAATACTCTTTTTTTTTTTACTTAAACACATTAAGCTTTCATATCCTGTCTGATAATACCAATACCTGGGCCATCTGTTTTTCCTACTTCTGCTGTCTCTCAATGATAGGCTTTATTTTATTTTGTGTTTCCTGACTTTTTGTTATGATCTCATGAGGGATAGAACTCTGTCTGTGGAAATTCTTTGAGACTGGAACTGAAGATGCATTCCTCCAGAGAGCACAGGCCATGGGGTGCTGACAGCCTGTGACCACTTCAGGCTCCTGGCCTGTCATTTGTAGCACAAGTATAAAAATTTAAGCTACAAATTCACATGAGTGCTAGCCTATGCTTTCAAATTCCAGAGGTGTTGTCCTCCTAATATCAAGGTCAAGTCCTGCAAATTGCCTTGTGGGGCAACTTTTTCATCTAGTTTGCCTTCTTGCTGGGATGTAACCCTTCTAGGTTCTAACCCCTGACCCCTCACTGTACCTCCCATTAAAATGGAAGTTCAAGACCACCCAAGACACACAGAATCTTCAGGGCAGGTGCTCAATTGGGCTAGCGTACATCTCAGGGGACCAATCCATCCCACAACTGGCTTCAGAGGATTTTCCTTGTTTTCTTGCCAGAAGTGAGCTGGTTGTCATGGGTTAATTGTTGCAAGCAGGACACACATCTGCCAGCCTCATCTTCACACTGTGGGAAACAGAGCTCCTCTCACTTGTCTTCGTGGGCAGCCATGGCAGCCTGCCCTTGAGACCGAAGGTCCCTCCTTCTTGTTGTTCCTTCTTCAGACAAGGGAACACAGAAAAGTTTCAGCCAGCAGCTTTTATAGGAGAATGAAGTCCCACTGTCACAGGGTCAATACCAGTGTCGCCCCCGTGGCTACAGAAGCACATCACCTCCCTGTGGACACCTCAGCATGTAAGCCTGCAGTGTGTCCCCACAGCATCTCAGAATCTATTTGTCTAGTAGGCCTGTCCGTTGTAGAAACACATTATAAAATATCCACCCAAAGGAAGGGAGAAGTTAATTTTTAGTTGTATGGGATATTCATTATGCAGAAACATTCATTTTTCAGGTTCTTTGTACCTAAGCCATTATTGTATTTACTGTTAAAATTGTTTTTGCAATACTGTCTAGTAGGTCTAGTAGTAACTAGAGCAGGTCGAGAAGAGTAGCTACAGGTGCACAGATGCAACAAGATACGACCCCACCTGTGCTCCTGCCACAGGGCTGGGCCTGGGCGCTGGCTTTCGTGGCCATCTCTGGGGCTCTTTCATCTCCCTGGAGATCCCGACGAAGAATCTGTTCCCGGCTTACCTGGTCATGACGCAGCCAGGCAGTGTGGCTGTTGTGCACGTATGCAGAGTCACCAGGTTGGTGCAATGGGAGCAGGTGGCCCATCACCTCCCAGCAGGCCACTCGCTCCATGGAAGTGCAGGGGGCCAGGGTTCACCCACCGTCCCACCCCCAGGGTCCACCTCCCCAAGACAGTGACTTCCACAGCCCCCCAGGACCAGGAAGCTCCCCCTGGTGGGCCCCAGATATGACTCTGAGGACAGTGGTGCTGTTTCTGTCACATGTCTGGGAGACCACCGTGGTGTGTGAGCATCTCATAAGTGATGAGCAGTGTTTGCACCTATGAGAGTGACTCGCCCTCCTGGTCTGTGGGCACCACCAGCACTCACTGTGGAAGAGCGGGTGACCAGCAGGTCTGGCTTTTGGTAGAGGCAGTTCTGAGCCTGGTGTGGGATTGCCCTGCTGTCCCTTCACTCTCAGGCCCCCTGGCCACTGCCTGTCTGAGATGCAGTGCCCTGGACAGGGCTCAGGGTGGGGGGACAGCCTCTGGCGCAAGGACAGAGGGCAGGAAGACCACCGGCTCAGCCTCTGCTCCTCCTAGATGGAAGCTGCCACTTCCTGGGGCAACACCAGAAAGATCTACAATAAAGAAATCGTTCTTGTCGACCATCCTCCCAATGTGAGCCGTGTCGGGCTGCACATGCGGACAGTGCTGGGGTCCACAGCTGGCCACCCTGAGTGCCACGCCTGAGCTTCAGCCAACAGGCAGAGGGACTCTCACCGGCTCCCTGTGTTTCCACTGGTACATGTCTTCAACATGACAATCCTTGTGGAATTTGTGGGTCAAGCAAATGCCCGCGTACCCACTACCTCAGGTAAAAGCAGAACAGCCATGTTCCCTGGGAGCTCTTCTCTGCCTCCCCTCCATGCTCTGGCCGCCTGTGCACAGTCTCTAAGCCACAGGCCCTGTGACTGCAGAGTGCCGGGCAGCAAGCGAGCCCCGCGGTCCATGCCAGAGTGACACTGCCCTGCCCAGCTACCCGCTGCGTCTAGCCCAGAAAGGGCTCTTGGCCGGTGTGAACATGGGGGACACTCGGGGCTACAGATCCTCGGAGCCCATGCGTGGAGGGGCTTCCTTGCCCATTTCTTCTCCAGTGACAGCCTGGAGACCACAGATCGTGGAAATGGGATGGGCATGTGTGTCCACTGTCTGGTCACATCCAGCACAACCAGAATAGGCTGCTTTCTCACGATGACTGCGATAAATGTTGTTCCTTCCAAGTGTCCTCGTCAGTGCCCTGGTCACCTTGTACAGCTCACCTTTGGGGAGCAATGCACCCAGTTCCCAGAGAGGCTGTTCAGTTTCCTGAGGGAAGAGCCCCAGTCCTCACTGGGGTCCAGAGAACTATCCCAGTGTTGAACCCAGTGGGTGGCAGGCCCACACCACACTGCTGGGGTCAGACCCCGTAGCACCCCTCCACTCACCGAGGTCAGAGGGCACTGCAGCAGCCTGGCCCAAGGCGCTGGCTGAAGGAGGCCGAGCCAGCCTGCACTGCCTGCCCCCCATCCCTGCCCAGGCCGGAGTCTCCACCAGGGTGTGTTCTGCCCATCTCACATGGAGTCGTATCCCACTGGGGAGCACTTTGCCCCTCAGGTTGAGAGCCTGAGTTACCCCCAGGCTGAAGGCCCAGGGAGAGTGTACCCCTGGGCGCTCATGTTGCTTGAGGCCCAGCTTGGGCCTGAGGGCTGCTGCAGACCCCTGAGAGGGGGAGGCTGTACCCTGGTTCCTGCTGCTGCTCCAGGTGCCTGCGGTGGCCCGTGGGGCATTGTGCCATGAGGATCAGACAAGCCTTGATCACGGAGGTGAAGATGTAGAGCAGGAGACAGGAGATGGGCCCAGAGATGACCTGGCTTCAGGGGGCAGGAGGGTCACGTCAGTCCTGCTAGCAGCCATGGGAAGCAACACTTTCTGGCTGAAATAATCACAAACAGGAAGGCCCTTTAGCAGGGATTTGGGGGAGGGGACCATCGTGGACCTGGACACTTTTGTGACACTTTGAGTTGACCTGATGTGAAGCATGTACGTGTCATTAGAATATGAAGCCTCAGTCTCAGAGCAGGTGACCTGCCCACCAAACTCTCCTTCCATGATTCAGACTGAATCCCTGGCAGCAAAATTCAACCTTTGCCCTAAACTCCCATTTCCTCGAAGGGCCATCTCATGTTGCACTTGGAAGTAAAAAGGAGGGCAAAACATCTCATCCGATGTCTGCTGTAGTCTGTGAACTGGTGAGAACTGTCAAATACAGAGGGTGGATTGTTCCACAGAGGAAAACGTTTTTGCACTGCGTGAGGGGACCATCTGCTCCATGTCAGTTCCCAAGTCTGGGAGACAGAAGTTTACACAGAGTTTACATCAGTCTGTGCGATTGGTTTGTATGATCCTGTTTACATGAAGATCAGGACCTGGGCCATGCATGTCAACCATCACCTGATGATGCCAATTAAGGCTCCAGAGGAGGCTTGGTTTCTACAGCAAAGCCACACTTTGCTGGGAGAACCTAGGACGGGAGCTGCTTGAGCTGCCCGTGATGAAGCACACCAAGGCCTGGATGGAAGGTTACTCAGGCCAAAACCCAAAACTGCCGCTATTGTGCTCAGGAATCATAGTGAGGGGCTGGGATGCATTCAAAGATTCAGGCACAAAGACACTAAAAAGCTGCAGAAAAGAGGGGCCGGGCTGCACCTGTCCGGGATGAGGCAGGGATGACAGCAGTGCCTACATAACCAGCACGACGCAGGGGGGCTCTGTCCTCGGTCACTCTGCAGAGGGATAGACTGCAGACATGGTCCCACTCAGGGCCCTCTCTGATTCTCCCTGGCCTCCAGGCCTGCACGTGGGACATGGGGCTCTCTGCCTTGCCCTGGCTGCTGCAGGACTGGAGGGGGGCCTTTGTTTTCCCCCAGTTTTGCTCAAGGTTCCAGTCTCCAAAGACTCTGACTCCCCTTTGGAATCAAAGAAATCTGAAATTGATTAACCCTGTTGTCCAGCCCTGGGCATTTGGTGTGGTTTTAAATCACATGAGGGCACACCTGATTCAGGCCTCTCATCTGCCCCAACAGGGGGCCGGGGCTGTAACCCAGCCGTGCCCGGAAAAGCCTTCAGTGTGGCATGGGGGCAGCCATGTTCTTCCATTCCCAGGGGTTTGAGACTGCAATGCTGCAGGACGCCCTGAATGGCAGCGAACTGGTTTCAGCTGCTTGGTGAGTCAGCCCACAGGATGGCCCAATCACAGGACCCTATGGCAGATACTAATAGCAGCAGACGATTTCCATTTCTCAAGTCTATTTCAAATTAATAAGAATGTCCCCCTTCTGTTTTTCATCCACAAAGAGACTCCCTTTGCATATTCATTTAATGTTAAATTGATGGATTAAATTATACCAAGCTCAAAATCAATCCTGCACATATCCATTAGAAAGGACTGAATCTCCCAGTGGGGACAGAGCAGAGAAAATGCATTCAGAGACACTGATAAGTCCAGGCCCATTATATGTCATTTTAAACAAAGAGCAAAAAAGCTCTTTGGAGACGCTCTATCAGCTGTTAAACAGAGACACTGCATGCACAGGGAGATTGATGGCTAGCATCTCTGTCCTCCAAATGGTTCTCCCTGGGCTGATGATTACAAGGAAATGCTTCTCCGTGTCTCTGTCACAGTTCACAGGCAAACAGATGCCTCTGTGCTGAGCCTTCCCTTTGTCTTTCCCGAGGCACAGTCAGTTAGTTAACAAGTGCCAGGCAGGGACCTCCCACTCTGCACAGCTAAGCAAGGTGACACACACGGTGTTGGTGAGAATCTTGTCTTCCCATCTCCTGAAGCATCACAAGGCGAGTTGGTGTGCACAAGGCTCGGCAGTGGCTCAGGGGCACAGGTGGGGCATGCCAGGGCTGTGGGCTGCGGAGGTGACAGATGTCACTGTTGTGGGGGGGTGGCTCTTGGCCTTAGACAAAGGGAGGGGCCACAGGGCCTCTGGATTTTCTTTGGAAACTTTAATTCCAAGTCTAGATCTAGAGGTGAAAATACTCCAGAAAAGCCCTCCCTACCCTTTCCCTTGTCTTCCCACTAGTGAGTTTTCCCATCTTTCCCCATTTGGCATTTCCCACCACCTGCCTTCCCAGACTTTCTCCCCACCCACAGCGGAATATAATGGAGGGGAGCCGAAAACACGACTGGGACTGGGACATGTCAAAACAGCTCAGAAGGCCGAGGAGAACCCCACCAGGCATTTTTCTATTTCTCCACATCACATCTTTCCAATGCTTTTCCATGAACACAAGCATTTTACTTATTAAATTATTCCACGAATTGCTTTCAAACAGACATCAATACATAATACATTTCTAAAAACTACTGGAACTTTTACAACTAAGATGTAGTAGCTATTCGCAGTGTACACATCACCATAAAACCATGAGAAAATTGGAATAAATGAAAAAAATCAGTTTTAAAGATGTTGGAGGGCAACGAGCTGGATGGACTAAAACGTCACAGCTGAACCAGAAAGGCGAGTTTCCTGTGTCCTCACCAGGAGGCAAGGTCCCCCCTAAGTGAGAGCCTGCAGCAGACATGACCATTCTTATCAAGATGGTGGCCAGATTTTGGAACCCAAGGCCCAGTGCCAGCTCCAGGTGGGCTGAGTGCCGTGTGATAACCCCAGCCCAATCCAGTGACTCCAGGTGGGTTGATGTGGTCAGGATTCACCTTACCTGCCTCAGATGGAAGAGCAGGTGGACCACCTCCATGGTGAAATCGCATCTTCTTCAGACCTGATAGACCTTTTACTCATGTCATCTGGCACACAACCGAACCTCAGGAGAGGCAGAAAAATTGGTAAATAATTAATAGACAACAGAAGATAGAAACATCTTCACAGGTAATTCAGATTTGGAAATTATCAAAAAAACTTTAAAATAACTCTTAAAAATATAATAGAGAAAATAGCCAAAAAGGTCACATGAATTAAAGATAGAACATTTCCGTAGAGAACAGAATCTATATGAAGGAATCTAGTTGGCATTCTAAAATGAAAAATACAACATTTCAATATAAGAATTCATTGGGAGGGTTTGATAATAGACTAACTGTAGTTGAAAACAGGAGTAATTAGCTGAAAGGTCAATACAAAGCACTCTGAGACTCCAAAAGAAAGAATGAGGAGAACAGGACAGAGCACAGGACACAAACAGAGACAGGACAGTGGGGCACACTCAGAAGGCTGCTCCTCCGGGAATCCCAGCCCACAGGGACAAAGGCATAGATGGAATTACATTTGAAGGTATAATGGCCGAGGTGTTTTCAGAATGAATGTCACCAACACACAAATACATTCTCCATAAACACAAAGAAAACCACACCTGCACACATTACAGTCAAGAACCAAATACAAAGAAAAAAATCTAAAAATTAGCCACAGAGCTACAAAGTGATAGTTTCAAAGAAGGGAAAATAAGGATAATGAATGACTTTTCTCTAGAACTATGCAAGTCACGGGACAATGGGATGCTGTCTTTAAGGAACGAAAGAAAAGGAAAAAACCTTCCAACTTGGAATTCCATGCCCAACAAAGGATTTAAACCATGGGGGCAAAATAAAGGTGTGTTTATACAAAAAAAACTGAGAAAAATTATCTCCAATACATTAGTATCACAAGGCATGAAAAAGCAAAATTTGGGGCTCAAGGGAAGGGAAAAAAGCTTGAAAATACATTAGCAATGAAGAGCATCAGAAAGGACACATGTCAGGGTGAGCGGCCATTGCTTGCAGCAGTCACACTAAACACATCATGTGGTATTTCTCACAAAAGCAGAAGCAAAATATAATACCCAAGGCACAAAAGCCTTTTGTGAGACTCGTCGATTGCTCAGAAAGCGGTAAAAGTACTAATTTTAGGTAGACTTGTATAAATCAAGTATGCATATTTTAAGCTATAGAAAAATAAATAATATATAATGGTAATGCAGTAGAAGAAGAGAGAAATGAGTAATACAAATACTTGGTTAATTCAAAAGCAGGAGAGGAGATATAAAAGAATAATAGACAGAATGAAGAAAACAAATCACAGGATATTAGACTAACCTCCCAACAATGAATGTGACTAACTTACATGCTGATGGACTAAACATTTCAATTGTGACAAGTTTGTCAGACTGGTTTTTTAAAAATAAAATTTTTTTAATTCCGACCAGCTACCCCTCATAAGAGACATTCTGTAAACATGACTGCATAGAGAGCATGAAGTAAAAATATGGGAAACAAGCAAAAACTGGCCAGAAGAAAAGCACTGGGGCTTTACTGACATAGGACAAAATGTGACCTGAGGTGAGTTATTGCTGGAGGTGAGAACACATTTCATAAGGTAAGTGAGGGTGTAACAGGAAGATATAAAAAACTTAAACTTGTATGCATAGCTTAAAAGTATAAAAAGAAAAATACAGAAATAAAGAAACAGGCCAATCTACAATCATAGGTAGAGATTTTAAGACACATTTCTCAATAACTGCTTGAAAAAAAGACCAAGAATCAGTAAAATACAGATTATAACCACACAGCTGGCCAGCATCAGAAGACACATATACTGAACATTCTACCCAAAGACTGCAGAATATACAGTTTTTTAAGCATACATGAGACAATTGCTCAGACTGACCACATTTTGGCCATAAAGTAAGTCTAAAGCTATTTCTAAGAATGGAATGCATCAGAATTTGTTCTATGCTTTGTGTAAGTAAACAGAGAATCAATAACAGAAATGCATGGGTCAAAGAAGAAATCACAATGAAAATTATAGTTTCAACTGAAAGATAATTAAGATAAGATAGATTCACTTTGAGATGCAGCAAAAGTATTACATAAAAGGTCTAATTTATAGTTTCAAATGCATATATTAAAAATAGGAAAGAAAAATAATCAATTATCTAAGCAGCTCCCAAATAAAACTAGAAAAAAAACACTAGCAAATAAACTCTAAGAAAATAATAGAAAACAAATAATAAAATTAATAGTACAAATCAATAATACAGAAAAAATAGATATGCAGTGGGAAAAAACTCAACAATTCATAAAATTGTGAAAACATTCATAAAACTAATAAAATTCATCAGGAATAGACAAGAAAAGGGAAATCACAATAGATGCTACAGATCTTTAAAAGTTAGTGAAAAGATAATATGAACAAGTTTATGCCCACAACTGTGTAACTTAGAAGTAAACAGATTGCTTAAAACCCCTTACCAGAGGAGACGCACAAGAAGTGAAAAATGCGAATTAGACTTATATCTATTAAACAGATTAAATTCTTAGTTAATTTTTTAACAGCGTTACTTCAGATCCAAATAACTTCACTGATAAAGTCTTCCAAATAACCAAGACAGAAATAATAACCATAATATACAAACTCCTTTAGAGTATATAGAAAACAGTAATACTTCCAATTCATTTTATGAAGCCAGGATAGACCTAATACATAACTAGACAAAGAATGTTATAAAAAAGGAAAACTACAGACCAACACATCTCATGAACAAGTTATTAGCAAATCAAATCCTGCAAAGCAGAGAGGATATATTAAGTAGGGTTTATTTAGCAGCAACATTTAATGGTAACACATCATGATCAAGAAGTTTTATACCAGAAATTCAAGATGTTTAAAAGAGCAAAGGACCTAATATAGCCAAAGAAATGAAAAAGAAGTATGAGTTCAAGGACTACACTATTTGACTTCAAGACTTACTAATCAAGACCTACAGTAATCAAGAGAGCGAAGTGTTGGTACAGAAAACACATAGTTCAATGAAACAGAGGGGAGAACACAGGAATACACCCACATTCCCATGTACATTGGATTTTTGACAAAGGACTAAAGCAATTTAGTGGAGAAGTAGAAGTTTTCTCAACACATGGTTCTGAAACACTGGATATCCATACACAGACAAAATGAACTTAGCCTGATGTCACATTATCCACGAAAATTAATTCAAGATGGATCATAGACCTGAATATGAAGATGAAAGCTGCAGAGCTTCTGGAAGAAAGCACGGGGGGAACAAAGTGTCTCGAGACAGAACACAGAAAACAATACAAATGGATAATTAGATATCATGAAAATTTAACCTTTCAATCAAATAGTCAAACCATATTTTGGGAGAAATATTTACAAAATATCCATTTGACCACAAATTGATATTTAGAATATATAAAGAGTGAACTTCTTCTGCAGCTGAATAATATAAACAAAGGCCATAATAAAAATGGGCAAACACATGAACATGTGTTTTACTAAAGAATATATGAATGGGACAAGCAGGCAAAATACTTCTCAACCTCATTACTCATCAATGATATGCACATTCAAGCCACAGCTGGCCGCCCTTCAGAATGGCTAAAACAAAAATGACTGGCAGTACCAAATGGTCATGAGGAAGGGGAACAAAAAGAATGGGCAGGAATGTAAAACAGCGCCACCATTTTGGACATGTTGGACCACATTTTATAAAAAATAAGCATACAGCTATCTTATAACCCAGGAATCCGCTCCTAGGTATTCACCGAAGAACAAGGGCAGCATGTACTCACAAAGAGACATGTCCAAGAATGGACATGGTAGCTTCATTCATAATGCCAAAAAGCTGGAAATAGCCTTGGTCCTATTGACGGGAGAATGGGTAAAGACATTAATATCTGCAGACAAGGAATACTACTCAGTTACAAAATACAATGAATCACTAATAAACACAACTACATGGATAAATTTCACAACATTGTCTCAAGTCAAAGCAGCCAAACATAAAAAAAGTGCATATGCTGTATGATGATGTATGATGCTCTATGGTGCCACATGATGTTCTATGATGCTCCATGATGTTGTATGATGCTCTGTGATGCCATATGATGCTCTATGATACTATATAAGTAAAGTTTCAGAACAAGTTAAATTCTTCTGTGGAGAAAATAAATCTGAGCACTGTTACCTGATGGGGAGAGGTGGGGGTGCTGGATATTGATTGGAAGGGAACATAATAGAATATTCTGTGGTGGTGAGAGTGCTCTGTCTCTTCATAGGATTTGCATTACAAACACATATATACATATAGATATATACATTTGTTAAAACGTATCAAATGCACACAAAATTGTACAGTTAATTCAAAACAAACTAGATGTATATAAATATTCAACTCCACTTAGTAATATACAGGCTGAGATGTTTAAGAATCAAGTGTACTGTTGTCAGTTTACTTGGAAATACATCAAAATTTATAATAAATTGATAGACAAGATAGAAAGATAGATACAGATGTGATATGCCAAATACAGAAAAATCTAGACAGTGAGTGTTCACTATACAATTCTTTCAATTTTTTTATGTTGGAAAGAATTTTTATAATAAAACATTAAGACTATAAGTGAAAAATATTCACATTAACAAAATTAAGAAAAACTATATAATCATGTCAATAGATGCAGAAAGATAAAACTCAACACTAGTTAATGTTGCAGAACTCTAAAAACTAGGAATAGAAAGCACTTCATTAATTAAAGAGTACCTCACACACATACACACACACACACACACACACACCAACAGCAGCTGACATTAAACTTAATGGTGAAATATTGAACACTTTCCCCCTGAGGTCAGGAACAGACAAGAATGTCTACTCTCACCACTTCCATTACAAATTGCCCTATGGGTCTCACCCAGAACAGTCAGAGTACAAATTTAAATGAAGAAAGACGTACGTAAATGTAAGGTTGGAAAGTAGCAAAATTGCCATTGTTCACATATAATGTGTTTATGTACTTAAAATTTTAAATAGTCTACAAAATATTAGAGTCAAATCAATTGGCAAGGCCACTGGATACAAGGTCAACATACAAAATTCAATTAATATTTCTCTATACCACCAACAAAGTGATTGGAAGATGCAATTAAAACCATACCACAAGCATCAAAATGTACAGCATATACAAAAAACCTACACATTGAAAAGAGTAGAACATTGTTGAGGGACAATGAAGAACTAAATGGAACGGTGTAACACATTTATGGATTAGAAAGTGAAAAAGACTTAACATGTTAAGTTTTCCCTAAATTTCTCTATAGATTGGATAAAATTTCAATCAAAACCCCTTTTGTCAAAATTGGCAAACCGATGCTATCATTTACGTGGAAAGCCACAGCCCTGAAAGGAGATGAGCAGTCGGAGTCTTGCATGACTTAATTTGGAGACTCGCTCTAAAGCTGCAGTCACTGATTCCCCGTGGTGTCGGCACGAAGATGGGTGAACAGTCCAGTGAGTGTTGGGGAGAATGTAGGAATGGTTCCTCATGATACTCCCATCACCGGCTCAGCATCCGTAGGCTCCGTGGCGGCTGCACCTGCCTCCTGAGGCTGGAGGCCTGGGCTCTCTTGTTTCTCCTCCAGTCCATCTTGGCCTCTGCTCTTTCCACCAGTGTTCCCAGTTTGAACCTCTATTACACCAGTCAAGACAGGACCCTCTGTTCTCTTGAAATCTTTGGGTCACTAACTTTGATCAATTCAGTACTCAGTTTGTGGTCCATAGACTTCCATAGACCATGTGGACAGACACTTACGAGGCATCTGTGAGGCCAGGTGGAGATCATGGAGGCTGGAAGGCAAAGACCAGGATGTGGCTGGGCCACCTCCTTTTGGCGACGGAGCAGAGGCTGCCCTCTGTAGGCGCAGGCAGCTATGCCTTTGGCCATGTGGGCCCTGGGAAGCCCCCGAGCACCATGAGGCATGTTGGAAGCAATGGTAGACACAGCTCATGGCAGTGCACCAGGGCAGAGGCCGTGTTCTCTGCTGTTTGCTGTGGGGATCCCCAGAGTGGCCCAAGATCCTCAGCGCCTGAAGCTTATGCATGTTGGGGCCTCTTCAGGTAAAGTGTTGAACACTGTGAACAGAATGTTAAGGACTGGCCTTGGGAGGGCTGTGCAAGTGGGACCTCTGAACTGGAACCTCACGGTGCGTGCATGCGTAGCAGAGCAAGGCCCTGCCCCTCCCTCACCACAGCTCATGCACACACACTCTCACACACCAGACACACTTACTCACACACATGCATGCACACACACACACACCAGAGACACAGACACACACTCACCCATGCACACACACCAGACATACATACATTCACATGCACACACACATACACACACATGCGCACACACGAGACACACACTCACACAGTGACAAGTCACTCCCAGCCCACATCACACTTGGAGGGAAAGCAAGCTGGCATCAGCACCTCCCCATGAGGAGTAAAACCACATTCCAGCATCTGGGGACGTTTTCAGCCTTTGTGAGGCCTCGGGAAGTCTGGTGACCCCTTGGCCCGTCGCCTTTAGGCTCTGATGTGGACACAGCCAAGGCCGAGCTCCACAGCCCAGACTGTGATTCGGGAGCCGGGTGACACGGCTCCACGGCATCATCAGGGGACCTGGAGGAGATGTGAGTCCTGAGCCCCTCTGGCCCCCTGGGGCCCCCCGGAGTCTGGAAACTAAAAGCTTCTGGTAGTACTGGTGGGGCTGTTTGCATCTGATTCATCTCCTCTCCTACTAGAAAATTCTCCACTGTGGCTGAGGCTGGAGTGATGAAGTAGAAGAGACGGCTGGTGGATTATTTATAAGACTCTGGCTTCACCCAAGCCCATGGCAGAGAATGCCATCATCTGGGCAGGCTCCCCAGAGAGCAGCGCAGGCCTGGAAACGGCACACAGCTCGGCTCTCAGCTGGGCGCGCTCCCTGGCCCTGCACGTATCGATCTGTTAGAGTGCTGCCGGCCCAGGGAGAGAGGCCAGCCGGGCCATGGCTTCCACTTCGGGCCTGGGTGTGGGAGGACCTGGGCAGAGACCCGGAGTCGGCCAGTTCAGACTTACTGAGGGTCTTTGCGGACACCTCCTGGGGTGCATGAGACCTGCAGTGCCCCCAGAATAACTCTGGGCTCCATTTCCAGCCAGCACACCTTCAGATCCGATGTGCAGGTCACAGTCCGTGTTGCTGAGAAGCTCTTCCCACAGAAGGGCCCTCTGCATGGCAGCCTCGCCCCTCCACACTGGGTGCAGTAGAAACCACCTTTCGTGCCCTTGGCAATCATGTGCCCGGTGGTCACAGACTAGGGCCCTGCTGCCAGTGTGAGGATGCCACATGACACTCCCTCCCTACCCACTTCCCAGGGTGGCTGAGCTGCTGCCCCCGGCCTACACATCTCCCTGGTCCCAGGGGACCAGGGGCTCTTCCACAGCACTGGGGGCAGCCCCAGGGCCTGGCCCCTCACCACCTGCCCGCTGCGCACGCAGACATCCCTGATCAGCTCGGCACTGCCCCTGACCTCTCCAGTCTGTGCCATCACCTGCTCCACCTCAACCAGGAGACAGCAGGAGGCGCTTAGCTGTGCAAGTCACTGGCAAACACAGGCAATCTTTGAAAGCTGGGTGTGTTCAGGGATGCCCCAGGAGTGACACCATGGGGACTAACAGCCCCTCCTCACAAACAGCCCGCAGGCAGCAGGGACCTGGGGTGACGCAGCGTGACAAGCGTGGCATCTGCTGATGTCCTGTGTATCTCAACACCCATAACCTTTCTGGTGGGGAAAATACTTTAGTTACTTGAATTGCTAATTTCTAGTTATGCCTTGAGACTTGTACCCAACATATAGCATGCAGACATGCACACACACGTGTGCACATGCTCAGGAACCCAGAGGCTGGGAGGTCTGCATATTTGCCACAATATTCTATTTACTATAGCCCACATTTCTTCCTGTTTGACATTCTTTTGGTCATTTGTATGCAATGCTTAAGGAAAACAGTGTCTAAGAGGTGAACTGTCACAGCAAAGAGCCTGCTCTTCATAAGAGGCCCTGGAAGCATTCAGAATTTTAAAAAGGCATTGCTAATTAAGTGTGACAGTTGAGCCTTTCCGTGGAATGCCTAGGGTATACCCCCAAGAAAAGCTGTGTGCAAAATGGCCATCCTCAAGGGAGCAGCTACATACAGCTTCTTTCTGCTCTTCAGAGACTCATAAAGTCACCTGAGAACACCTTTGTAAACAGCCAAAAAAAAAAATCCAAAATACAATATTAGGACAGAATGGGTATGTGCCAAGGCTCTTGCCTGTACACTTCTTGAAGCTCAGTGTGACAGGGACACTCTGGCAAGTGGCACAGGGAGTGAGCATTGCGTCTGTGCTTGAGTTTCAGCAGACTGGGATGATTACCTGCAGAGGTAGTTACCCTTTGTTCTCGGTGTTGTGGAGAGGCTTTGCCTCCATGGGCCCTGCTCCACCCCTTGCTCTTTGCCAGGTGTTAAGAGGTCGTGTAAGTGGACCAAAGGCATCTTGGCTCTGCCGTGATTTTCCTGGCTGCTCGCACAGGTCTGACACCTTCAGGACAAAAGCCAGACTGTTAGGAGTAAACACGGGTTTTGAAGTTTTCCTGCAGACCATTGAAAGTTATTTAAGATCACTGACATCTGATACTGAGAAGAGAGAAAGGCATTTTTGTTTGATCTGACACCATCAGAGTAAATTTTCCCTAGGTACCACTACAGATCTAATAACCTTGGGCTTAAATTGATGTTAAGATTAAGACAAACGGAAAAATCTGAGAAAAGGCAGGTTGCGTTTGATCTTAAGCACATGAGAACAAATTATGGCCAACATTATCATTCTCACAGTGAGAAACGGG